CTCACCAAGTTGCCCAGGTGGGTCTCGAACCCACAGGCTCAGGCAATTCACTCACCTTGGCCTCCCAAAGCACAGGAGTACAGGCTGAGCCTGGCTGAGTTATCTAATTTCTTAGCATAAATTCAGGTGTAATCCAAGGGGCTCATGAATAACAAAGACATTCTTTGTCCTGAAGAAATTCCAAGGATTTAGTGTCTCCCTTTAAAGAACCATGGACAAAGGACACCTTTTTCGTTATTATATGACAGTAGAAGAAAATGTATTATATATATAAAATACATCTTACATATATGTCTATACGGATTTTCTGAGAATCAAAAAACTTACACGTGCCAAAAAAGAATGTTTGGACTAATGGAGAAGTTTACCACTTTTATATAAATAGCTAATACAGAATTAGGATGGCAAAGATTGGTATAAGTTTTCAAAGAGCGTGGGGATGGAGAAGTTGATCCTCTGTGGAAAAGTAAGTTGACAAGAAAGTCTCCATAAGACTATAGCGTTAAAGGGAAAATTTCCCCTCTGTCCTCTGAAGGTTCACAGAAATTGTGGGAAGATGAAGGGCAGAACTTGGCTATGAACAAGAGTTGTTTTATTCTGCAGATTAAGTCTCCCTCGTGATTTCTCAGAGCTGCCCTCAGAAGAAGGGATGAAAAGCCAGTCAGGGCATGGTGATGACTTTCAGTCTTTTCTCTTCTCTGATGGTTCAATCATTTCTATTTATTTGATGAGATTCCTATGGAGGAGGTTTTAAGACAACTATATTGCATTTGGAAATTTTCTTCAATCAGATAAGAAATTTCAGAGACAGCCCTTCCCTGCACTTTGGGGAAGAAACAAGAGGAGGTTAAAAAGTTTTTGGTTCTGAGGCAGGTTCTAAGGCCTTCCTTTAATTCAAAAGTGCTCAACATGTCAGAGCACCATTCTTTGGGGTATTATTATTCTCTGAACTCCAGCAAGATTTTGGTAAATATATTGACATCTACATTTTTCTTTCATCTCTTCTGAAAATAGTTTTAGGAGAGACTGGGAAGGGGGGTGGGTATCTTTCCTTTTACCCTTTTAAGTTCTCACCTGAGGCCCTTTAACAAAAGACAGATTAAACAAGAGAAAATCATACACTTTTATTTATTTTGAATTATCTGTAACAACCCAAAGAAAAGGTTACATCTGAGCGTTTTAAAGCTAGGTTTGATGAATAGTGGAAAATTGTAATAGGGCAAAGGATATGAAGTAAGAACAGTTAAAGTGAGGGAAACTTAGCAAGGCCTGTTCAGACACCTCATCATTCCTCTGTCTTCAGAGATAAAGATGCTCTCTAACTCTAGGTATGGGCACCTTTCATATGAGGATTTTATGACTTGCTTCAGGGACAAACATAGAGCCCTTCCTGTCTCTTTTCCATATTACTTCAGCTCAAAATATTCAATATGTCACAGTCCTGTATTTTGGACTAGCAAGTTCTAAACCCCATCTACACAGTGTACAGAGCAAAAGAACTCTGTTATAGGTCAATATTTCTGACCCAAATAATTAATATATATAATACAATTATGATCAAGATCCTAGAGAAATTTTTTTCTTTGAACTTGAAATATGTTACAGTGTTTAAGATACTTTTCAATGGAAATAGAATAGAAAGGACAATAATTGTTTAGGAATGAAGTACAGAAGTACAGTAAAGAAGTGAATTATATTAAATATAATACTTTATCACTTGGATATAAATAGAAATCTGGCTGAGTGACCAGCTGATTAACTCAAGACTCAATCAACTATACCAAAAATAAATTCTGGATGTAATAAAGATTTAGAAAACCATAATACCCAGTGATGGCAAACTTATGTACACAAAAATTACTGTTGGCACAAGTGAATGTATTAAAACTTTTGAGGAAAATGTAGTAAATCAAAATACTTTAAAATCTTTCTCTGTGACACAACATTTCAATTCTAGATTGCTCTCAGGAAATAAATTATATACAGTTCTTTAAAATAGAAAAAAATAGAAAACACACTATTGTTAAATACTAGAGATTTTATTAAAATGTATCGTAGAGAATTCTTATGATAGAATATTAAGCACAGATAATCACTTTTTAATTTTTTCCTAATGCAAAGTTCTAAATTTTTAACTGAAATATAGATTCCTTTTGACAAGATAACGTCATTAAATTATGGAACAGAATAGAATTTTGATTAATAATTCCAAGTATGTATAGGGTTAACAGGGGGTACTTCAGCAGAGAAGAGATTAATTATTTAAAAAATTTTGCTGATTAGTGAATTGGTAGGAAATTGGTTAAAACTGTATTATGGAGAATTCACAATAAACAAATATTAAAGTAACTTTTGAGAAAGCTCTTTAGATAAGAGAAACTGATTAAAATAAAATCAGGGTAAAGAAGTTACAAAATGCCATATACAGCACTGTATCCATTTTGTTGGGAAAAAAATGTGCATTTACCTGCTCACTAGAATATATATATATATATATATATAACTTTTTTTTTTTTTTTTTTTTTTTTTTTAAGTGAGAAAGCAGGATTTATTGAGAGGACAGACACGCTCCCACGGTGGGAGGGTACCCAAAGGGGTTGTCCATCTGGGGCCGAAAACCTCGTCTGTACAATAAATAAAAAATAAGCCGGACGTGGTAGTTCCGGCTACTTGGAAAGCTGAGGCAGAAGGATCGCCAGGGCCCAGCAGGTCGACACTGGGGTGGCCATGAGCATGCCACTGTATGTACTTCAGCCTGGGCGATGGAGTGAGACTCCGACTCAAAACAAACAAACAAGCAAACAAAAAGTAAAAACATACAATATCTTTTAGCTTAAAGTAGTGATCTCAGTGTGATGGAGTAATAGCTTGTTCTTTTAAAAACATTTCCTTGCAGAAGGCTTCAGAATGCTTGTTGTGCGTTTTCTGCAATATTGATGTTTTCCATTTTGCATCTAAACGCAATCTCTTTAAGCCTTAAAACATTTGTTTAAGCCTTAAGACAAAATAGCTGCTGCCTTACAAAACTGAAAACAAGGAAACTAGAGGCGCGCTTTTTTTTTCGTTTTGGTTCGTCCCTTTAGGCTCCCCTCCCCCACCGGGGCGGGACTTCCCGCCGCCTTCGTTCAGGTTCTCAATTCGGTCCGCCAACGGACCTATAAAGGCTCTGCCTCGGGCAGGCATCGTCACAAGGCTTCTGTGCGATCCTCGGGAGGCTTCTGGTCTGCAGCATGTCTGGCCGCGGCAAGGGCGGGAAGGGTCTCGGCAAAGGCGGCGCCAAGCGCCACCGCAAGGTCCTGCGCGACAACATCCAGGGCATCACCAAGCCCGCCATCCGGCGCCTGGCCCGCCGCGGCGGAGTCAAGCGCATCTCCGGCCTCATCTACGAGGAGACCCGCGGGGTGCTCAAGGTGTTCCTGGAGAACGTGATCCGGGACGCCGTCACCTACACGGAGCACGCCAAACGCAAGACCGTCACGGCCATGGACGTGGTCTACGCGCTCAAGCGCCAGGGCCGCACCCTCTACGGCTTCGGGGGCTGAGTGTTTGCTGTTGCTTCTCTTTCCCACAAAAGGCCCTTTTCAGGGCCCCCACTTCCTCATTGAGGAGTTGTGGCACAGATGGGTAATGTTTAGATTTGCTTTTGCAAAATTTTTGCTAAGAGCTAACACCTTTTGCCTGCCAGTGTCTGCAAAGTGTTAAGTACGCTACTGCTGTAGTTATCCCTAGTCACGGGGAATGTTGATTTTCATGTCTGACCTGTTTGAGCTTTTTAGTGTTTCACTTGTTCCAAGTTAAACAATAGTCGGGTCAGAAGCGTACTGAGCAGGTCATTGTACACTGAAATGGTTAAATCAAGCTTGTTACCGTCTCTTTTCTGGTGGAAACATTTGATGTCTGCTTTTTGTAAATTGGTATATAATCTATGCAGTACAATAGATCGGAGTGGATTTCTTTTGTCGACCCTTTGTTGTAGCCATTCCACCCTCATTTTCTGGCAATCATCACTATGCTACGAAACGAGTTTTTTTTCGATAATGAGAAAACCTGAAGGACAATTTTAGATCCTGGAAAGCTGGATCCGGCACTGCTTAGGTGGGCCTTATAAATATTGTTTTGGACATAAAGAATAAAGTCTTTAGAACGTAAAGAATATAAATCTTAAAATTAGGATGTAAATGTTGTTTTATAACTATAAAAATGATACAATGTGAAATGTTTAAGTACAATCACGACGTTGATAACGGGAGTAAATCTATACCATTTTCTAGTTGTGGGAATTTATGTTATGGATCTCACGCATGTAATCCCAGCACTTTGGGTAGCAGAGGCGAGAGGATTGCCTGAGCCCACGGGTTCAAGACCAACCTGGGCGACTTGTCAAGACTTCCTCTCTACAATAAAAAAAATTAGTTGGGTATGGTGGTGCACGCCTGTATGTATAGTAGTTCCAGCTACTTGAAGGCTGACTGAAGGATTGCCTGAGCCCAGCAGTTCAAGGCTGCGGGTGTTTGTGAGCGTGCCACTGCACTCCAGCCTGGGTGATAGAGTGAGACTACAGCTAAAACAAAACAAAAAAGTTACATATAATCTCTAAGCCTCTCTTTCTTTTTTGAGTTGGAATTCCACTCCCAGGCTGGAGTGCAGTGGCAGGATCACAGACACCACAACCTCTACCTCCTGAACTCAATCATTTCTCCTTGCCTCCCGAGTAGCTGTGTGTCGAGCACCACCACACCCAACTATATTTTATTTTATTTATTTAATTTTAAAAATAGAGACACCCGAAGTCTCACTATGCATGCTAGGCTGATCTTGAACTCCTATATGCTCAAGCAATCCTCTGTATGTGCTCAAAATACTAGGATTGCAGGCGTAAACCACATCAGTACATTTTAAAAAATAATTCTTGCAAATGGAATTATCTTGATTATTCTTACAATGCCATACCTTTTTTTGTTTGTATGCACATTCTGGGTGGTAAATGAAGGATACTTTACCATTCTGAAGATGACCACATCCACGACTGGATCAGTTTGCTATCATTTTTGTCTTTTCCTAAATCTGTCTTCTCACTATCTTTCTATTAATCTCATTTCTTATTTCTGGGCAGCGTAAAATTTAACTAGCAGAAAGAAACCGAACCATCTGGTAGGCCAGAATTTTTTGTCTTTAGTGACAGCTATTCTCTAATAAGAATTAGGAGGGAAAATTTTTAAATATCAGTTGGTTCTTTCCTTAGACCAAGTAAATCACAATTTCTGGGTTTGGGTCATTTCAAATGTGACTCATTAGGCCTTTTCAAGTTTAGGGGTAAATCTCAGTGTTCTAATAACAACTTCTTACCAATTTCAACTTTAAATAAGAAAACCCTTTCAAAAGCTGCAGACCTCCCAGCCCCAAAGCTCTGACTCACATTATAGAACAAAGGATAAATTATTTTTTGTTGTGATTGTCCTTCGTTGTACTGCAATTCCATGTCCCATTCAGGAATTCAAATTCTGATCTTTCTCCCAAGAGATAATTTAGATCAAAATCCATAGGTTTACTTGACCTAGGGTTAGTGGATTAAAGGCTGTTGCATAAAAAGATGTTGCTAGGTTCAGCAGTTGGAGTCAAGACACCAGAAACATAGGAAAGTTGCTTGGCTTTCTCCAGCTGTACTGGGAAAACCGTCGCTGGAAAGAAACTATAATCTTTATTTAGTCTAAAACCTTAACTCATAGAAAAAAGTATTATGACTAGATGCCTGAAAATTAGCATGGATTACTGGACAAGAATTTAGCAGTTTTGTCACTTAAGACTGTACCATAGTGACATTTTGTTTTATTAGTATAATAAGCAGAGAGTTCAATTGACAGTATCAGGAAATTTAGTTAATTCATTCATTTTTTGAATATTTACTAAATGATTCATGTATTTCAGTCACTGTACTTGGCATGATGATATAGCAACAACAATTCAAAAGAGTATGTCTCCATGGTATTTACTGTATACCAGAAAAAGACAGAAAATAAACTAATAAAAAATCTCAATTTTGCTACATCTAGTTAAAGATCAGTCTTCATTTTACTCCCAATCTTCAGACACATATCAAACTCCCTGCTTTTTTCACATGGATATTTAACAGACATTTTACAGTTAATCAGTTCAAAACAGGGGTCCTGATAGTCCTTTCCAACCTTCTTTCACTTAAAAAACTACCCCATTCAGCTGATAATAACTTCATTTTTGTTCCTTTTCATATTTACATTCAACTCTTAGTTTTCCTTCAGAATATATACAGAAACTAATTCCACCATGCTACCACCCTGTGTGAGCAACTCTCCTCTCTCTAGATTACTGGCTTCAGCCTCCTTAATGTTTTTCCTGTTTCCACCCTTGATTTTCTACCCTCCAGTGAAAGTTACCTTGATACCCTGGTAGCCTCCAAATATCCCAGGCAAGCTCTCCCATTGCATAGAAAACTCAGAGCAAATTAGAATGCTGGGAATGAATGGTGATCTCTGGTGGACAGCCATATGCAAGTCTGATTCCAAACTTCAAGGAAACTGAGGTGTCAAAGAGGCTGACAAATTCAATTTCTTAGAAATACAAACAGAAGCCAGTTCTGTGTTTTGGGCCTCGGAGAGACAAGATGGTGAATTCCTGCACCACTACCCCTTAGTCCCAAGATATATATACCATAGGGAAAGGATGTCTCCAAAGGGATATGTAGTACAAATGAAGTATGACAACATCAGGGATGTTTTGACTGAAGGGCAAGATAGGCAAAATCCATGCCCCTGCACAAAGAACAATAGATAAACTGGAAATCTTAAAGAGCTTCCTGGACTTGAAATTAATCAGAAGTCACCATGGCAGATTAGCATCCAAGATATATCTAAGATACTGTAGTAAGGGGAAAGAAACGGGGTAAGTTAACATTTAGCATAAAAGTGTAAGTAAGTAGGCCACAGTAGCTTAAACATGGGTTATACAATGTTCATGTATCTTATCTATATTGCTGCTACATCAGCCTTCTTCACCAATGATGTAGTTATAGTTATGAAGACCAGAGTCCAGATTTGGGATAATAGAGGTACCCCGGGTCAATGACAGGCACCTACTTTATTGAAGAGCAGAGACAAATATGCCTGGCCATTGCTGTTGCTCACCATAAGCTCTCCAAATGCCATGGATCTATGTTTCTTGAGTAAAAGATACACGGGACTAGAACAGATATCACCAGTGGGTTACTGAATTAAGGTACCAAGTGTCTCAAGTAGATTTAATTCATCATGAACATTTAGTGTCTCATGTATCTCAGGCATATTTAGTGTCCAGGTATATACCATATATAAATGGTGATTCATGAATATTATCTATTTCTTGGTCTTTTATTCTTTTCTTTATATATTTAAACACATACTCTCTTCTTACTATCTATACTTAACACATCTTATGAGTTTCACCTGTCATATTTCTCAGTAGTGAAAGTAGTCTCAAATAGTACAAGAAATGCATATTTCAAAATGTTAGGAAACTGGGTTAAGAATTTCATCAAATATGATGAGGTACTTGGACAGACATTTTATAGTAGAGCATTACAAAATTGTATCTTCTGTTCTAGTTGGTCTGTTTTAAGGATATACTTATGAAAGGAGAAAAAGTCTTGTATGTTTTAAAAAGGGTTAGGTCTAAGTCTATATATATATATATATATATTTTTTTTTTTTTTTTTTTTTTTTGAGTTGGAGTCTCACTCTGTCGTCCAGACTAGAGTGCAGTGGTACGCTCCTGGCCACCGCAGCCTCAACCTACTGGGCTCCGGCAATCTTTCTGCTTCAGCCTTCCAAGTAGCTGGAACTATAGGCGCACGCTACCATGCCTGGCTTTTTTGATTTATTGTAGTGATGAGGTCTCGCCAAGCTGCCCAGGCAGGTCTCGAACGCGGGCTCAGACAATCCACTCACCTCAGCCTCCCAAAGCACGGGATTACAGGCTGAGCCACCCAGCTTGGCTAAATCTATATTAATAACCATATCCCTATGGAAAGTAATGGGGCTTAGTAAAAGCATTTTGTATAATATCTAAGCAGTCTTCTGCGTTGTTTTGTACATAGGGTCAATCAATATATATCATATGTAGGAAGAGGGTCTCACTCTATCGCCCAGGCTGGAGTGAAATGGTGTGATCATTGTTCACTATAGCCTCGAACCCCTGAGTTCAAAGGAAGCTTCTGCATCAACCTCTCTAGTAGCTAGGACTACAGGCAGGTAACACCACACCTAGTATTATTTTTGTAAAAATGAGGTTTGCTATGTTGCTCAGGCTGGTCTTGAACTCCTGGGCTCAAGGTAATCCTCCTGCCTTGACCTTCCAAAGTGCTATTTTCTACAGTAATAATTCTTAAATACATATTTGTAACAACTTATCAGTACATAGCTAATAGAAAGTTTTTCTAAAATTTGAGAATTTAGTTTGAAAAAAGATAGCAACTGCAAGTATATTAAAAAGGCATTCATATTAAAAAAACAAAACAAAAAACTTTAGCCACAATTGAATAATTCAGTCCTATGTAATTAATTCTTGCTTTCTTGATCTTGGTTGATGCAGTCTTATACTATGGCCTTGAAAATCTTAAATCAGTCTTGTGGTTGAGTCAGACAGGTATATTCTTTTCTTAGGGTTCATTCTATGTTTCCAGAAAATTCAGTTTCAGGTCTGTATTTTGGAGCAGGAACCTTTAGATAAAGTGTACAGAAAACCAGGAGCCATCTGCTGATTACAAAAGAGTATTTCTGATTGATTTATTATATTAATTAACATTATTTGTATAAGGAAGGGTAGAATCTTTTATTTAGAGACCTATTATCAGTAATGAAGACATAAACAAACCTGTAGGGTCTTTTTATATATCCCATAAAATATTTGCTATTTTTGCTACCAAATAACAAGGGCATTTATAACTAGGAACAAAATGTTTATGGGCAAGATTTGTGCTAGTGTTTTATATGAACTTAAGTATGTTCTTTCAATCTTAAAGGGTATTAATGGTGGCTCACACCTGTAATCTCGGTGCTTTGGGAGGTTGAGGTGGGAAGATCTCTTGAGGGCAGGAGTTTAAGACCAGCCTGCACAACACAAGAAACTCTATCTCTACAGGGAAAAGAAAAAAGTCAATCTGAGTGGTGTGGGCCTGTGATCCTAACTAATCGAGAGGCTGAAGCAGAAGGATTCCTTGGGCTCAGGAGTTTGAGGCTGCAGTAAGCTATGATCATACCACTGCACTCCAACCCAAGTGACAGAGCAAGATCCTGTATCTACGGAAAAAAAGCGCTGGGTGCCGTGGCTTACGCCTGTAATCCCAGCACTTTGGGAGGCCGAGGTGAGAGGATTGCATGATCATGCTCAGGGGTTCGAGACCAACCTGGGAAACTTGGTGAGACCTCATCTCTACAATATATCAAAAAAATTAGCCGGGCGTGCTGGCACATACCTGTGGTTCCAGCTACTTGGAAGACTGGGGTGGAAGGATAGCCTGAGCCTAGCAGGTTGATGCTGCAGTGGCAGTGAGCATGCCACTACATTCCAGCCTGGGCCACAGAGTGAGACTGACTCAAAAAAAAAAGTATAATTGTTAAAATTTATATGTGGCTAACTTAGGTATTTATTATTTCCTTTTATGATTTACCCCCTTTTATCTCATATTGTAAAATAAATAACAGAACAGTCCTCACAATTGCATAATTGTTTATGATGATGTCTTCTCTTATAAAATGAGGAAACAAATATGTGCAGTCTAGTGGTCACTTAGGAACCCCCAAAAGTAGTTTAGATATGCTTAACATGTTAACAGTTTTATTACTCAAACTCTAGAACCTTAAATTGAAAAAGGTACTATCAAAAATGTTTTGTTACATATTTTATTACATCAAGATATGGGCATACAAAAAAACAAAACAGATAAAGAAAACAAAACAAAAAATAACTTTAAGAAGACATAAGCATAAGTCATATTTTTTAGGACAAATACTAAAATATTATAAAAACATTTAGATTATGTACTGTATACTTAGCTTTATTTTTATTTTTATTTTTTTAGTCAGAGTCTTACTCTGTTGCCCAGGCTGAAGTGCAGTGGTACACTCGGCCACTGTAGCCTCAGACTGCTGGACTCAGGCTATCCTTCCCTCAGTCTTCCAAGTAGCTGGAACAACAGGTGTGCACCACCATGTCTGGCAAATTTTTTTATTTATTGTAGAGATGAGGGCTCGCCTTGGGTTGCCTAGGCTGGTCTTGACCCCCTGAGCTCAGGCAATTCTATCACCTTCCCCTCTCAAAGTGCTGGGGTTATGAGCCACTGTGCCCAGCGAATTTTTTTTTTTTTTAAGAACAGAGAAAGGCTAACCCCTCGGGTCCCCTCCTTCTGTGGGAGCTTTTCTGTCCTCTGAGAAATTTTTGTCAAAATTATTCAAGAAGCCCAGGAGTCCAAGACTGCAATGAGCAATAGCACAATACTCTGTTTCTAAAAAAATAATAAATAAATATTTAAGAAATCAGTGGAACAGACACAGAAAACTGAGTACCATATGTTCTCACTCATAATCGAACCTTGAACAATTATCATAACATTATAAGGGATTGGCAATAGTGGGAAACTGCCAGGGGAAGGGAGGTAAACCTCATCAACAAAGGTACCTGCATAATGAACATTTGTAATACCTAACCCTAATTGTACTCCCACATCTTTACAATAAAAAATTTTTTAAAAAAATCAATGGAAAGTCATGAATAGATAACAGATTCTTAGAAAGTGTTGGGGAAATCTAATAAAACCCCAAAACTCTCATTGGAAAACCTCTCCAAAAAAGTAGTAAAGTTTTGTTATTTATTATATTAAACCAGAATGTGACATACTTCACAGCCAGCCTGTTAAAGGAATTACAGAAACAGAAGGAGATCTTGCTCTTTTATATAGCTAAGTGGAATCGATATAGTCAATATTAGGTAGGCTTTGCAATTTAGTCATATAATTGCTGAAGTTAGGTCTATTTCTTCTCTGGAAATGGGAGATTGAAAAGTTACCAACAGGGAAAATAACTATCTGTTATCGGTTATTTTCCTTTTGGTAACTCTTCAAAGAGATAGTTCCTGGAGAAAACATTCCTGAGTTGGGAGACTGGCAAGAGGCATTTGATCTTACAAAAGTTAACTCTTGAGGCAAGGAAGTTGTGTTCTCCAAACAAAATACAGAACGATGATAGGTTTATTTTTGTTTTTGTTGTTGGTAAGAGCTAGCCAAATGACAATTTAGAGAACAATTTCCTAATTTTTCCCACTGTTTTCCCTTTTATCATAACTTTCCCTGGAGACGTTTAGCATACTTTTGCGTGTGTTTAAACCTACACATAAAGTGAGCTAAATATTAAAATTTTTAACATCAGCTGTAAACAATCTGGTCGATGTTCTCCTTTTGTCTGTATAAATGTCAGCAGTTGCTACTAGGCTTCTTCTGCCAACTTAAGTTTTCACCTTTGGTTTTGAGGGTTTCGAAGACCTCCGAAGGGTCAGTATTACAACCTTTGAGTTTAAATGCATATTTCCTAATTTCCTTTAGTACCTTCTCCACGGAACTAATTTTCGCTTTCCAATCTTTCTGGGATATACCTACCGTGAAAACTTTTTCAAAGAACTCTTCCCCAGTGACCTTGGTTCCCTTATCTAGTAGATGATTTGAAACTCATTTTTAAAGCTTTTGGGAAATCCACCTACAACTAGCCTCTCTATTCTACTAGTCTTCCAGACCAAGTGTGCCAATCGGTTCCAGAGCAAGGGACCATCAAAACTGTTTCTCAGTGGAAATATGAGATATGGGAAATAGACGTTACTAACAAAGGCACCACATAAAAAGGAAACCTTCATAAAGTACTACCACCAAGCAATATTTCTATACACCACACGGTGAAAAACACTAGTCTAAAATACACGCTTGATAAGAGCACGTTTTGCCATTCTACAACGACTGGGACTGGTCTTCCGGAGTGGAACTGGGAACGCATGCGCCTAAGCAGCGCAGACCGAGCAGGAAGGCAGGAAGCTGAAAGCAAACAAGTGAAACTACTCCTTAGGCTGAGAAAGTGGGGGCCCTGAAAAGGGCCTTTTGTGGGAAAGAGAAGCAACAGCAAACACTCAGCCCCCGAAGCCGTAGAGGGTGCGGCCCTGGCGCTTGAGCGCGTAGACCACGTCCATGGCCGTGACGGTCTTGCGTTTGGCGTGCTCCGTGTAGGTGACGGCGTCCCGGATCACGTTCTCCAGGAACACCTTGAGCACCCCGCGGGTCTCCTCGTAGATGAGGCCGGAGATGCGCTTGACTCCGCCGCGGCGGGCCAGGCGCCGGATGGCGGGCTTGGTGATGCCCTGGATGTTGTCGCGCAGGACCTTGCGGTGGCGCTTGGCGCCGCCTTTGCCGAGACCCTTCCCGCCCTTGCCGCGGCCAGACATGCTGCAGACCAGAAGCCTCCCGAGGATCGCACAGAAGCCTTGTGACGATGCCTGCCCGAGGCAGAGCCTTTATAGGTCCGTTGGCGGACCGAATTGAGAACCTGAACGAAGGCGGCGGGAAGTCCCGCCCCGGTGGGGGAGGGGAGCCTAAAGGGACGAACCAAAACGAAAAAAAGCGCGCCTCTAGTTTCCTTGTTTTCAGTTTTGTAAGGCAGCAGCTATTTTGTCTTAAGGCTTAAACAAATGTTTTAAGGCTTAAAGAGATTGCGTTTAGATGCAAAAGGGAAAACATCAATATTGCAGAAAACGCACAGCAAGCATTCTGAAGCCTTCTGCAAGGAAATGTTTTTAAAAGAACAAGCTATTACTCCATCACACTGAGATCACTACTTTAAGCTAAAAAGATATTCTAGTGAGCAGGTAAATGCACATTTCCCCCCCCCAACAAAATGCATACAGTGCTGTGTATGGCGTTTTGTAACTTCTTTACCCTGATTTTATTTTAATCGGTTTTCCTTATCTAAAGAGCTTTCTCAAAAGCTATTTTAATGTCATCTTGTAGTTGAATTATCAATACAGGTTTAACCAGTTCCCTAGCAATTTGTTAATCGGCGGTTTTTCTAAGATTAATCTTGTCATATTCAATATAAATTTACTACTTCACTATGCTTGAGACCAATACTGAAATTTCTATTTTTTAAAATTAAATCAATTTTATATTGCAACTGTATTAGCGGTCTCACGATTTGGCACTAAAGGTCTATTTCTTTTTCAAAATTTCTGATTTGGTTTCCCCAAGATTTCTTTTCTAGACAATTTGAGGGTCATTTTGTCAAGGCTGAATATAACATCTCTGAAATTTTGGTCATAGTTTCATTAACTTTACTCATTAATTGCGATAGAATTAAAATCTTTAAAAGAAGCTCTTATAACTAGAAATTTGGTGCTTTTAGCTATTTTTAAAGCCTTTTGTAAATAGTTCCACTAGATAATTGGTTCTCAACAATATTTGATGTGGAATAATGTTTGCATATATTTAATTTTATTTCTTTGTAATTAACAAATAACACCTTGTACTCTGAAATTCTTTTCACATTAATGAAAAATACAAAATTCCTATAACTATTTTAATGTGACCCCTTCTTCTTCTTCTTCTTTTTTTTTTTTGAGTTGGAGTCTCACTCTGTTGCCCTGACTGGAGTGCAGTGGCCGCGCTGCCGGCCACCGCAGCCTCGACATGCTGGGCTCCGGCGATCCATCTGCCTCAGCCTTCCAAGTAGCTGGAACTACAGGCTAGCGCTACCACGCCTGGCTAATTTTTTATTTATTGTGGAGATGAGGTGTCGCCAAATTGCCCACGCGGGTCTCGAACCTGCGGGCTCAGGCAATCCACTCACCTCAGCCTCCCAAAGGCGCGGGATCTGTTTTAGAATGTGGTTAAGAGGCTAGATGAGGTGGCTCAATCCTGTAATCCCAACACTTTGGGATACTGAGGCGAAAGAAGTTGGAGACCCTGAGCAACACAGCTGGACCCTGTCTCTACAAAAAAAAAAAAAATTTTAGCTGGGCATGGTGGCAAGTCCCTCTTAAGTCTCAGCTACTTGGGAGGCTGAATTGCAAGATTGCTTGAGCTTGGAAGTTTGAAACCAGCGTGAACAACATAGTAAAACTCTCATATCAAAAAGATAAAAAAAGGTGATTATTTACATAAACTCTCAACCACAAGTCTATCGCTATTTAGTATAATTTTTATTTCTTTATAACTAATGTACATATATCTTATACTTTAAAATGTATTTTAATAAATAATAAACTATCATAAAATGTACATTAAATAGCAAATTTAAAAAATAATACTTGTTTTTAGTATGTGTTGTTGACATTGGGACTCAGAAACTGATAACCAAAATATGATGCAATGACATGTTGAACATCTTTCTGACCCCCCCACTCTCCATGTCTCTCCCCAAATCTTTATCTAAGATCCAGATATATCAAAAGGAACAACTTTTTTCTTTCCCTCCCTGTAAGATCAAGAATGTAACCACACCTGAACAGATCATTTCACAGGATAGTGTATAAGCTAATCACCCCTGATGCATTCATTCTCCCTACTAATCTCAACAGAATTCCTCTTCTCTCCCCCACAACATGTTTTGCTAGGATGGTATTTGAACTTCTGAACCACATTGGAGGGTGGTCAGTGACTCTGTGATTCTCCTCCTATACATAATGTGCACAAGTTAAATTTGTATGTGTTTTTCCCTATTAATCTGCCTCAAGTCAGTGGTTTTCAGTGAACCTTCAGAGGGCCAAGGTCCTTAGCTCCCCCACATCACACATTAACACCAAGTAAGCATTTATTGTCAACATGAATTTATAGATTTTTGTTAGCATTTATTTTTGATCAAAATGTATTTTTAACATTTATTAGCCTGAAATTATTCAATAAACAACTGTTACTTTATTCTTCCTTGCAAATTTATGATGTGGGTTTGTAAAAGCTGATCAAATAATCTACTTTGAAACAATTGTAGTAAGAATTGTATGGGAGGAAAATTGCTTTCTTTACCCTCCTAGGTTCTTTGCTATTCTATGAATTGACATAGGACAAATTAACAGAAGAATAATGATTTCAATTACGTATTTACACATGGGAGTCCCACAAAAATGTGAGACTCTGCAAAGCAGACCAATGAGACATATATTATCCTGAATTACAGAACGGGGTGATGGTGACAAATTATGTGAAGGTGAGGAGAGGAAATAACGTAGTGAATAAAAGTTGGCTTGTTATGAAAATAAAAGTCTCTCAGATGATAAAAGTTATTTTGGAGTACCTCTCTAGTACAGATACCTTTACTAATACAATTTTTTTGTTTATAAAATATAAATTTCTTTTGCAAAAGGGGAAATCTATATTTTAGGCAGTTGAGGGAGGTAAAGAACTTTTCCTGTGTTGGCTGGTCTCAATCACCTTTAGCTTAAAATAATCAATATACTTAACGGCCTATTTGAGGTTACAGGTTATGAACCCCTTCAAATAACAGCCAAAAACATAAGCGCATGATGATCACATTCAATGTTTATTACTGCTCCCTCTATGAAAACCCCACTCCCAAATGCTATTACCAGACAAGTAAAGCTATTATTTAATATGAACAGTTGAGGTGATAAGTATAATAAATAAAAGTCAGAGAGAGGAGTTAATTATTATTTTTTAAAAAGTAAGGGAGGGAGCATTAGAAAAGCATTATTTAGGGACCTCAGAAATGTGTATGTATTACTCCCTAATTTCAGACCCTAAACTTTGCTCCTTGTCCAGAGTCCCTGTCCTTCTCCAAACCTCTGGTCCCCTAAATCACTCTAGTTGTTTCATCATACCACTACATCATTCATATTTATTAATATCAGAAACATTTATTTAAATGTCAGATTGTTGCTAGGTTGGAGGAGGAAGCAGGAGGTGAACCAAAAGCAGTAAAGACATCCATCCAGATCAATCTTTTCTTAGATGAATTAATGCCATGAAGTGATAAAGCAGTGTAAATCTTCCTAACTGATCCTTGCTCCTTGGATACCTCTCATCTTTCAATTGCCTTCTCTATAAGTTACTCATTTAACATCTCAATTTTTCTGTAACTACATATGTGGAATTATAAACAATGATATATCACACTTGTATATTTTATTTCACTTTTAAAATTTGTGGTTGTCACTGGTTTATGAGTTCATTGATTTGAATCTTTACATAAATCTCACCAATAATTATGATGACATGATTTTAACAATGTGGTGGTTCTTCTGGGAAATAAAAACAATGGAGTAAAGCAAGTACTAATAATTGTTATCAGCATCAAAGATCATAACAGTCTACTTTATTTTTAAAATGTTCAAGAACTTACAGGCCATCGGTAGATGTATCACTTACTATATTTAGTATTTCCGATTTTAACAAATAATTGTTAGAAAATTTAGACACACAAATACCACAGGTGACTTTTTAAGAGGAAGCAGATGAACTAGATTTATTGAAATCAGGACAGGGATCCTACAAAATCAAATAATCATAAATTTATCAATAAAATAAAAGAATATTTAACTTCTACTTGTGATTGCTGTTTTATTACAAGGAAAATTATTTGCACTCGTGATTGCAATTGAAATTCATATATAGGAAATATAAATGTATTAAGAGACTCAGAAAGTTGATTACAATGGACTAGAAATGCCTATAGAAATTCATTTTCGCTAATGTACTCATAAGGAAAAGTTGACATACTGATTAATGTAAGGTGATTTGATAGGAGTGTCATCAGGGTGAGAGAAAGCAGTAAAAATTGATAGGACTATATGGCCTTAATGGTGGTAAAGAATCAACGTTGGCCGGGCGCGGTGGCTCAAGCCTGTAATCCCAGTACTTTGGGAGGCCGAGGTGAATTGCCTGAGCGCACGGGTTCGAGACCAGCCTGGGCAACTTGGTGAGAGCTCATCTCTACAATAAATCAAAAATTAGCCAGGCGTGGTGGCGTGTGCCTGTAGTTCCAGTTACTTGGAAGGCTGAGGTGGAAGGATCGCCTGAGCCCATGCAGGTCGAGGCTGCTGTGGCACTGAACGTGCCACGGCACTCCAGCCTGGGTGACAGTGACTCCAACTCAAAAAACAAAAAAACAAAATGTCTACTATTCAAACTGTCTTAACATTATTTCTAACGTAATCTCACCTTAACTGTCGTTTACGAAAAGTCCATTATAAACTGTTCTTTTTGCTCAAGCCAACTTGAAACCCCTTTTAGACAGCCCTTACTTATCTGTACTAATGTCATTTTCCCACTTAGGGGTGTGTCTGGCACACCATAGGTTCCCATTAAGACTCAGCCGAATTAGAAGGCAGGCCAAACATTCATACTTAATTTGTGTCGATGGACATTCAGTCCTGCAGAAGGATCAGAGATCGGCATTTAAGTTTTCTTGCTACCCTAAAACACTGGGAGCGCTTTGGTTTCGCTTTCTCGGTGTGTCAACTGTAAAACAAAGGTAATGTTGAATAACACTGCAGCACAGCTCCACTTGGTGACAAAATGGGTGGCTCTGAAAAGAACCTTTTATGGTTTGGATAGAAGGTATGAGTAGCAAATTCTTCCAGATTTCTACTTGCCCTTGGCCTTGTGGTGACTCTCGGTCTTCTTGGGCAGCAGCACAGCCTGAATGTTGGGCAGGACGCCGCCCTGCGCGATGGTGACTTTGCCCAGCAGCTTGTTGAGCTCCTCGTCGTTGCGGATGGCCAGCTGCAGGTGGCGCGGGATGATGCGCGTCTTCTTGTTGTCGCGGGCCGCGTTGCCCGCCAGCTCCAGGATCTCGGCGGTCAGGTACTCCAGCACCGCCGCCAGGTACACCGGCGCGCCGGCGCCGACCCGCTCGGCATAGTTGCCCTTGCGGAGCAGGCGGTGCACACGGCCCACGGGGAACTGGAGGCCGGCCCGGGAAGAGCGGGTCTTGGCTTTGGCGCGAGCTTTGCCTCCCTGCTTACCACGTCCAGACATAGTGAGTAACTAGCAGCCACCGTATGACGTTAAGTAAGAACCAGCGCTCCACTACTTATAGTAAGTAGAGGTCACGAAAACGAAGCTATACCATTGGCTAAAATTACATTTTCCCTTTAACCAATGGAATCGTAGTTTTGAAATACCGTTACTTTGATTGGGCTAAGTTGAGAAATGACGTTACCGGGACTCGCCAGTTATTAAACACACAACTTGACGCTCCCTCTTTTGTATAAGACGCTGTGAGGCGTAAACATACAGCTATTCCTTCTTCTTCTTCTCGAGCTTTTTGGCAGTTATTCCCAACCATGCCTGAGCCCTCAAAGTCCGCTCCTGCTCCGAAAAAGGGCTCCAAGAAGGCAGTCACCAAGGTGCAGAAGAAGGACGGCAAGAAGCGCAAGCGCAGCCGCAAGGAGAGCTACTCCGTGTACGTGTACAAGGTGCTGAAGCAGGTCCACCCCGACACCGGCATCTCGTCCAAAGCTATGGGCATCATGAATTCCTTCGTCAACGACATCTTCGAGCGCATCGCGGGGGAGGCCTCGCGCTTGGCGCATTACAACAAGCGCTCGACTATCACCTCCAGGGAGATCCAGACTGCGGTCCGCCTGCTGCTTCCAGGGGAGCTGGCCAAGCACGCCGTGTCCGAGGGCACCAAGGCCGTCACCAAGTACACTAGCTCCAAGTGAACCCGCGCGCCCCAGAACTATCGGTCAGTCTTCCGCCCACACCCCAAAGGCTCTTTTTAGAGCCACTCACTCTTCCCAAAAAGAACTGGCACTCAGTTTTCTTACAGCGAGTATTTCCTGTTTGCCACTAAGAAACAATTTCCTTGTTTCCTTATTTGGGACCTGTTAGAAATTAACACTACAACGTACTACGTGATGCAGCAAATCTCGACAATTTTTGTGTAGATTTCTATCAAGAAGGCGTAGGTTTTTCAACAAACTTAGTAAGGGAAAGATTCAATGCCTTTCCTCCCCAAACAAAATCTACTCGTTTAACTGTCAACTGGTAAATATAGTTAATAGTGCTTTGGTCACTCTATCCCTAATTTTCACGTGTACTAATGAAGCATTTGGTACACACAGAAACGTACAAATCGCCTTTACTTTAAGTTTTCTGTAGGAGGTTCTATTTCCCCTTCCTTGTCCCCAGTTTGGATTTGACAGACATTAAGGTAGAAAGGCAGAGGGAAAAGATTTAAATTCAAATTCACTCGCCAACAGGGGCTGAGTTTGTGTTGGCCAATCCAGGCACTGCGCGGGCAGTTTGAAAATTGACCGCTGTTTTCTCTGAGTGTTCTAATTGGGAACATTCTTGACATTGCGGATTTGTGGGAGGAATCCTGCCGTTTACCCACTCCATTATTTCTCTTGAGTGGAATTCCTTTTTATGACCAGAATGTGTTTCTGCCCTCCACTTTTCCTGTTAGGGTCTGCTCCATGTTTTCTTTCTGTGTCACCTGCATTAACTATAACTCTGTTAACTGGGAGAAACTTAAAAAAGTAGAGCAGAAAGGCTGCCTCCTACTGTTCCCCCACTCCCTACTCAGGATATCAAAATCAGTCTCTCCATTTTAAGCCCTTAAGAATGGCATGTCTAAAACTGTTTTGGCCGGGTGTGGTGGTTCATCTCTGTAGTCCCAGCCTCTTCGGACTCTGAGATGGAAAGATCGCTTGAGGTCAGGAGTTCTAGTTGGGCAACACAGCAAGGCCCTATCTCTTAAAAAGAAAAAAGAAAAAGAAAAGAAAATAAGCTAGGCTGGTAGTGCTTGCCTGTAGTTTTAGCTTGTTCGGAGCTGAAGTGGAAGTCTCGCTGGAGCCCAGGAACCCAGGAGTTCCATGCTGCAATGAGTTATGATGGTGACTACACTCCAGCCTGGGCTACAGAGCAAGACTGTCTCTATTGAAAAAACAAAACAAATCTATTCTGGTCTTTGCCAGGAATCAGAGTGAGAACTCTTACAAACTGCGTTGAATTTGCTGAAGGTTTTTTGGTAATACCTTTTTATCTAATTAGGGTACTTCAATGACTCCACAATTTGACTCCTGAGAGAATATTTTACACACTTGCAACAGGAGGCATACAAGAATGGAAAAGCACTATTCTTAATAGCAAATTACTAGAAGCAACCACAAGTTCGTGGTCAAAGAAATATATGCATTTCTTAAGGTGCATTCACATGGTGGAATGCTATACAGAGAAGATGAACTACATAGTACACAGCTGAATTTCAGAAGCATAAGTCTCAGAAGGTGCATATTTGATACCATTTTATAAAATTAAGAGCCAAATTATATATTGCTCAAGTGTATACAGAAGCACATCTGTGATGAATCTTTTTTTAAGAAATAGATTTTTAAAATATAAGGCAGTAGCTACCTCAGTGACAAAGGGAGGGCAAAGGGATAGGGAAAAGCACAGATACAAATACAAGTTGTTGACAACATTCTAGTTTTGGGTTTAGAAGTTTGGTCAAGGGGTCGTGGGTGCTTGATATAATTTGTTTTGTACTTTAAATTTTTATGTCTCAAATACTGTACTGGGAAATATAATAGAAAAAATCCTTATATTAAAATAAGTTCTAGAAATCATGTACTTTGACATGAGGAAAAACTTATAAATAAGAAACACTAACCTAATACTGTTTCTCTAAATATTATTCATTTCTTTTAAATAAGTGGAAGAGACAAAGAAGACTGATAGAGGCCATCAAAAAGGCTCATGAATTCAGAGAACTCAGGGCTTGGGTTAAAATTAAGAGTCAACAGTCAATCTCCTTGCTCCTGAGTCTGTAGACTAAGGCCCCTTAACCAAGAATCCTGATTCCCCGAAGGGTTCGGAGGATTCTGATCGGGCTTCATTTCAGTTGGTTTCTGTACATTATCTGATGTACATTGAATCTGCATTTAGCCGAGAATTGATAGTGATGCCGGGCGGGTTGCAGCATGAAACTGGTGGAGTCTTTGGCTCAACCCTAAAATGAATTTTAGAGTGACCAGCAAATTTTTAAAACAAAGCTTGTTAGGGAGAAGAAGAGAGAAAGAAAGGGCAGGTGGAAGTTTCTACCAGAAAGGCCTGATACGGGCCTTTACTCTCAAAGAGTAAAGACTGCGCTTTCGCTCTTAACTAAGAAATTAGATATATTTTCTCAGCAACTGATATGCTAAAGTGTGTGGGGCACAGGTAACAGTTGCTCCAGAGAGAATGACATCTCTCCACCTTCCAGTGGGAGGAATGGGCTATCTTTTCCAGGGAGACTTGCTAGACTCTTTTAATTAAGTTCATTAGCTAAAAGGGGTCTCATTATCATGGCTTTTGATTCCAGCTCACAGGGCTGTTCAGCATGGAGAAAGGATGTCTGGACACTTTCTAAAACCTGCCTACAAGATATGTATCTATCTATCCCTAACCTGCACTAGCTAACTTGCCTCAACAGAATTTATTCTTCATAAAATCCAGTTAATTAAATGTTCTTCCCCTCTACTTCTCCCTCCCTATTAGGGTCTGGCTGAGCTTGGTCTTCCATCAGGTGTTGTAAACCCCGCATCTACTCAGTTTCCCACAAAAATCTTTGAAACATCTCCCTGGAAACTGTGTATCTATGCATATGCACATGTATGTTTTGAATATATGTTATGTACATATACATAAACCAAACACATACATAAATACAAAATATATATTCCCAATTATGTTAGAACAGAGATATACTTCTATTTGAGGACAGTAAATTCACAGTACATTTGGGTTACTTCATTATGACTTTTCATAGCACAGGTGCATTTGAACCTCTCCATTAATACTGTAGCGGGAAGACAGAGAGATCATGACTATTATAGGAAGTGGCACTTTATTACACCAGCGGGCTCAGTGGGCTTGACGGGCTAATGCGTCCAAATCGAGCCCCGCAGAACGGGAGAAGTGGGGTCTTATGCCTTCGTTTAGGTAAGGGAGGGAGGTCTTGTTGAGCGATTACACATCTCCTTTGGAATTTATAAGGCGGTGTTCAGAAAAATCAGATCTTTCAAAGAACTAGTGGTTTCTAGGAACCGCAGGGTTGTAAACCATCAACTTCAGAAGAGGTGTTTTGGGTAAGTCTGTGAATTAGTTACTCTTTTGCATTTCCACAAAAGCCATCAGTCTCTAGCCATTTGGCCTTTTCAAACAAAACCAGCCTGGTGGGTCTTTAGAGCTTGTAGCTTGGCTTTCAAAAGGAAGTACTTTTAACTACTACCAACCCCTCTCCTGCCACATCAATACAGATAATTAGCAGCAAATTCTGGTGTTGGCTTGTTTTACAGAATGAGGGGATCAGCAGATAAAATCCAGGAGAGAAGAACTTATCTATAATCTATATACACCTATATTTATGTTTATATGTAAGAGGTTGCTTGAACAACTTCAAATTGTCAAAAGAGATGAGGGATCTAGTAGAATGGAGGAGGAAAGGAGCTAAAATCTGTGTAAAGAATGGAAAGAAGCATGCAGAAGGAATTTTACCACCTTTATACAAAGTTCACATACCAAGCCCTAAAACTCCATTATTTAGCAAGTTCTTAAAACAGAGAGAGAGAAAAATAAATAAATAACTCAAAGCAAAATCTTGCAAGTTATTTACACCTTGGAGAGCTTCAACTTTCTCTCTCTCTCTTTTTTTTTTTTTCTGAAACAATCTTGATGAATTTATGACATTGCTGATCAACCTTGGAAATAGATATGATATAATTCAAACCAGGATGTCACTTTACTGTTTTCACTTGAAACTTATATAGTAGTTTTAAGAGTCCACATAATTTGTCAATATTTTTTGTCAAATTTGTTCATAATTTTTGGTCAATATTTTTCCCCTAAAGAACAATCTATAGACAAGAAGGAAAAAGAATAGAACATAGAAACATATGAATCTGATCCTAAAATACTTTTTTTCCCCAAGCTACATTACCTGAATAAATGGCCTTTGCTAGCCAAGAAAAATTTATGTCCTCCTCTTCAGAAACTGAATACTCACTTCCAAGGAGATTGCAAGAAACATACTGCTAAATCTTTTCCACTGATTTCTAGATTTCACGCAGCCTACCATCCTTCAGTTACCACATTGTATTGGACGTGTTAAATTAATGTAGATCACAATTCATCAGAATTACATTTAGATTACTTGATGTGAAAAAAACCTGAATCTCAACATCCATAAATTTCCAAAGCATCTCAGACATCTGTTGCTTCTGGAGATGACCAGTTTATGCATTTCTGAATTCCTTTTAACAGGTGGTACCTGTTGGTATGCTGCATAAGGTAAAGCAGATGTGTAGTACCAAAAACCAAAACACAACAAAACAAAACACAAAGAATTTTTTTCAGACTTGAATAATCATAAAAATTTTCTGTCGATTCCTATAGAGTTGAACATACACATAAGTATTCCTACAGGGTCAATGAATGTGAATAATTAAACTTAACAAGAATTAGGGACTTGAATGTGCAAAGAACAATGCTAGGAACTAGGTAGGGATAGATTATAAGAACAAATAACCCCATCCCCTGGCAAGCAGGTAAGAATTTTCACTGATAGAGGGAAAAAATAAATGCCTCAGCCAAAGTTCTATGGTTATACTAGAGAGAAGGGATTATCTTTGATGGAGAAATTAGAAAATGATATAAGAAAATACCGAGATTTCCAGTGTATTGATTTTGAGAGAATCTTTAACT